TCAGCTGATTACGGACAATGATTGGATGGATCTGTAGGTTCTGATTTGCCGTGGAGCAGATTTGCGACGAATTCGTTTGCAGAGCGATAAATGTGATGCGCAAATTGGAACGAAGTGATGTTGACAGCCTTCGGCGACTTGCTAGCTACTTTATAAGAAAGTCAGAATATAACTTAGCTGCTAGAATCTATGGAAACATCAATGATATCAAAGCTATGGCTCAAATGCATGTGGCTGCGGGACATTGGACGGATGTGCGTTTATACTTTGTTCAAACTTTTCATCCCTAAGCGGACGTTTTGTAAATTTTAGGCCTTTGCTATAGCTGATCGCTATCCAAAATACATTGAAGATGTTTATTTGCCATATGCAAGATATCTAGCTGAACGAGATCAGTTTTTGGAAGCGCAGAAAGGCAAGATTTCTTATCTGTGAATAATTTTGTGCTAAACCGCATGAAGAATTTTTCAGCTTATCACAAAGCTGGACGTGATCAGGAGGCACTTCGAGTGCTTGTACAACTCACAGGCAACGCAGTGGATGAAAATCGGTTTGCTGATGCTGGGTAAGAAATTAAGTAAAAGCTCTTTAATAGTTATAAGACCCTTGCTACCCTAATTTTGATCAGTTCTTAGACTGCAAGGGTTTCTTGGTTTTTTACAGTCTCTATAGAATTGTGGAACTTGTGCGCGTCCAACATGCGTCGCGTCACCCAGTAAGCTGTGCGTTTACTGTAGCATACTGTAGCGACGCAAAAACGGAACTTGATTGACACTAACTTCGCATAAAGTCCGCTATGGACTTCTCTCATGGGCTATACTTTCCAGTTCATTTCTTCCAAATCCTTGTAGAACATTTTTCTGAATCGTGATTGTCAAAAATGCCTTTTTTTAGGTACTATCATTGGCTGTTGAGCATGCAGTACCTGGAAAGGTCCAAGGACAATCCTTCACTCATTCCGAAGTACTATGCTAGTGCAAAACTTGCTGAAGTTTACTATGCTTACCACGCAATCTTCCTTTATTGTGTAAGTTTTACCTTACCTTTGGATCTGTTTATGTTTTCTCACAAAAAATCAGCAAATTTATGGTTAGATATGGTGGGAGATAGAGATCTCTTTTGCTGTATCAAAATTTTACAAAAGAGTAGACAGAAACAAATCAATCTGTATGGAGGTACATATATCACTATACAAAGAGATAATCATGTTTTTTACTCTCGCACACTACTTTTGAGCCAATTCTTACACATATCCTTTCTTTCCTGGATTTTGCCCGTGCTATAATGCAGTCAAAAAGTTTGAAAAAAGTAGAGAAATTTGGCTGATTGGCCAAATTTGACTGAAACTGTATTTGAGACACGAAACTCTGGTTTACATCCGCTTTGATGTAATTAATAATTCTGATGCGAACTTTG